AATAAACGTTTTGGACAGGAAATCATTGAAGCTATCCGCGGTTAACTGGGCATCAACTATGGGATTTCCGAGATCGTCTCGAAGGATGGGATACTGCGTCTTACTCTGAGTTCGTATTTTTCTAGAGAAAAGTTTCGAGACATTTAACGAATGGTTTTCGGTTAACTGGACCTCTTCAGCTAGCTGTTTTTCTTCACACAATCTCTTAGCTCGATCAAAAATATCACAAATCAAGGGCAGGACAGAAACATCGTTCTGAAGATGGAAACGACGATAAAGCCTGCGCAATCTGCGACGAAAGGGTAAAGGTAGGAAAACCTCATCCCCAACATTAATAATTTTCTTACGGGGGACAAAACGAGAAATAAGCGGATCCAAAATTTCGTACAGTTTTGCAGTGCAAACATTTACATCCGAACAAAGGAAGAACTCAGTCCAGTCGTAGGAATTAAGGTGTGTTAATAATTCGGTTGAGCGAGCTGATCGGAAATCGCGGAAAAGTTATACTTTTGGGACGACATTTCGTCAGCCTCGAATTCCAACGTTGAAACAACTATGTCATGGTCTGAGCCCCCGAGTGGGCCTAGGGATGACACTGACGATGGCAAGCAGCCTCTACAGAAAATTAAGTCAAGTATACTTGAGCCTCGGGTGGGAAAATCGACAACCTGAGTCCACATCCCAACATCCACAGCCTCATGAAAGTCATCGAACCTTCTGGGGCCTGAAGGCGGAGACCAGCGGACTTCAGGGAGATTAAAGTCACCCGCAACCAATTGATACTTAAAGCTTGAATCGGCCGCAGCATGAAATGCCTGTGAAAGTAAACGATCAAAATTGTCATGCCCGTTTACAGGCATTGTCAGGAATGCGTGAAACACAAATCCGGTAATCAGTGAAAGAAACTGTTGTCAAAAAGGGGAAGAAATAAAGTTAATGGTGGTTTTTTATATTTCGGAGGGTTCAGAAAAAAAAAAGCTGACCATGAAATTGCGACAGTCAAAAAAGGGAAGGATGGCATTGTATCGGATTTCATCAATTGCCAATACTTTTCATGATGTTGCGGCTGGTCTGAACAGAAGCACCGAAGAACAGCTGTTACTGTTGGCTAAATAAATTGTCCCTGATGAGACCGGCCATTGAGATCAGAGACCACAAACGCCGTCGCTGCGGTAAAGTCGATCGGTGTATTCAGCACCCAACATTTGTGGGAATTTTTCTGAACGCAAAAATCGAGTAATGGTTCTCTTAAACAACGGATAATTTTGTAGAGTTTTCACATTCCTGGGTAGTTTATCCCAAATAGCAATTGCATTTACAGAAAAGAACCGACGATATTTAACGGTACGTACTAGAGGAAGAAATAAAAAGACCTGTCTGACCCACATTCGTACCCATCAAGGCGGACATTTATTGATACCCTGACGATGACCGAAAACATTCCGTTATATACCGCCACCTACAGCGACAATTTTCGCGGTTTTTGATGTCATCTCCCGCATTCCGACCTCATGCGGTCTGTCGACGCTCACGGCGGAACCCTCCGTATTCACTGTCTACTAGTAGTTCGGTCGTACCTCCCTTCCTCACTGCTCGGCTGAGCTCGAAGCGTGCTGTGGCCGATCGCATCTCGGTTCCTCTCGTCTGGCCTCTTTGACGCGGCGTACCAATCCGGCCCAGACGATCT